AGGTGTTCATGGGGTGGAGGGGCCAGTCTACATCCTGTGAACCCCAGCCTGATAGGGACAGACCCAATCTAGTCTGATGGGTGAGGCTGAGGTCCTTCCTATGGGGCAGCCCAGCCTGAGGGGAGAGGTCTGTTCTCCAAAGGCCTCCTAGAGGGCCAGAAACTCCTCATTTGCAGTGTTGATCTTTTTCTATTATCACTTTCTTCCATGTATGTGTGTGCATGTTTGTAGAGACTTGTTCCTCAAGTGCTGCTCCCCCGTGTCCCCCCAGCTTTTGTTTTTGAGACAGGATCTCTTTGTAGTTTCTGTTGGCCTGGAACTTGCTATGTAGAGCAGGATGGCCTCAATCTCACAAAGATCGCTTTTCTCTTCCTCCCTAGTATTGGAGTTAAAGGTGTGAGCCATCACACCTGGCTCCTCTTGTTTTTTTGAGACAGGGTCTCTCACTGGCCCGGGATTTACCCAGTAGGCTAGGCTGGCTGTCTAGGGATTCCCCCTGCCTCTGCCTCCTCAGAGCTAGGATTACTGGTGCACATTACAATGCCTTGTTTTGTTTTGTTTTGTTTTTGGTCTTTTTGAGACAGGGTCTCCCTGTAGCCCCAGCTGACCTGGAACTCACTATGTACACCAGGCTGGCCTCGAACTCACAGAGATCTGCCTGCTTCTGCCTCCCAAGTGCTGGGATTAAAGGAGTGCACCACCACGCCCAGTTTCATATATTTATTTTTATTTTGCTGCAGGGCCCCTTGTGGGTGTGTGGCTGCCTCACCTGTAATTCTAGAAAAGTCTTGTACACACTGGGCAGGGACACTGGGAACTCAAGGCCAGCCTAGGCAACTTGGCCAGATCCTGTCAAAAAGTAGTGAAAACAGGACTGGGGTGAGGCTCAGAGGAGAGGCAGAGCCCCTGCCTAGAGTACACCACTGAGGGGCTGGGGTGTGGCTCAGGGGTAGAGTGACAGCCTAGAATCCCCAGTGAGGGGCTGGGGGTGTGGCTCAGGGTAGAGTGACAGCCTAGAATCCCCAGAGAGGAGCTGGGGTGTGGCTCTGGGTTAGAGTGACAGCCTGGGATCCCCATGGAGGGGATGGAGGGGTGGTAGACCCTGCTTATCAAGCTTGAGAACCTGGGTTCCATCCCAGCACCAGAAAAGACAAACTGTCCCACAGGCCCCTTTGAAGATGCCCTGAAGCTGCATGAGTGCTCGGTGGCAGGGGCCATCACGGCGGCCGCACCCCCTCTGGAGGACCAGTGGCCCAGCCCCCCCACCCGCCGGGCCCCCATCGCCCCCACGGAGGAGCAGCTGAGGCAGGAGCCCTGGTACCACGGACGCATGAGCCGCCGGGCGGCTGAGAAGCTGCTTCGAGCTGATGGGGACTTCCTCGTGCGAGACAGCATCACCAACCCCGGGCAGTACGTGCTCACCGGCATGCAGGCGGGCCAGCCCAAGCACCTGCTGCTGGTGGACCCCGAGGGCGTGGTGAGCTGGCATTTGGGGAGGGAGGGGAGAAGACTGTGGGGCTGAGGACTTAGGGCCCCGGGGCATTTTCCAGACACAACCACTGCACTATCATTAATTATTTTCTGGTTTGAAAAGAGCTTTAAAGCCAGGTGTGGTGACTTCTCCCTGTCACCTCAGAACTTGGGAGGCTGAGGCAGGAGGATTGCTGCAAGTTGGAGGCCATCCTGGGCTCCCGAGTGAGGCCCTGCCTCAAAACAACAATTTTTTCAGTATTTTTATTTCATTATTTTTAGTATTTTTATTTTATGAGTGTATTGCCTGTATGTAGGTAGGTGTACCCATGTTGTGCAGTGCCTATGGAGGTCAGAAGATGGTGTTGGATTCTCTGGAACTAGTTATGGGAATCAATTTGATTGTATTTAGGTCCCGTTCTGTATCTGCACCCCCTTACTAGCTCCTCACCAAATTTCATATATATAATTATACTATATAATCATATATTATAATATATAATATAATATATAGTATTATATAATTTAATACATAACATACATATTAAAGTCTATAGAGTCAGGTTTGTGTCCCAAATGCCTGTTGGTGTGGGCCCATTCACTGGAGCCTGGTCAACCTACCAAGAATCTCATCCTTAAACAAGACTGACTCTCCCCTTCCCAGAAGCCATTGGTTGCCAGTAGTTCCTCAGGCAGGGCTTGGATTTCTTACCTACTTCCTCATGTCTTTGCTGGGATTCTTTTTTGGTTTGAGCTTGCATGGGGCTTGTTCATGCTGTCAGCATTGCTGTGAGTTCCTATGAATAAGTGCCCAGCTGTCTGGAAGACTCTACATGTGGTCATCCACCTCGCCTGGCTCTTACACTCTTTCTGCCCCATCTTCCACAATGATCCCTGAGCCTTAGGGGGAAGAAGTTTGAAATAAGAGTCCCAATCAGGGATAAGCACTCTGTAGTGTCTTATTCTCTACATGTTGGCCAATTGTGGTTCTCTGTTAATCACCATCTGCTGCACGAGGAAACGTCTCTGCTGAGAGTTCAGCATTAATCTATGAGTATAACAGTAAGTCATTAGGAGTTAGTTTAATACTATAACTATTTAGCAGAATAATTGTGTTAGGCTTTCTTCCATGGCTGTCTAACCTCAGGCTCCTAGGTCTGATAACAATGTTAGGGCTAGGCTTCATCCTATGAAGTGGACCTTAAATCCAATGAGAAAGTAGTTGATTGCTTCTATAATATCCGTGCCATGATTGTACCAGTGGGCATGTTTTCCCATGCCAGTTGTTGTAGCTCACAGGATCCACAGCTGTGGAAGGCTCATGGTAATTTTTCTCTTCTGGCAGCATGCATAGCCCCTTCCAGCACTATGAAAGCTAGCCCATAGAGATGAGGCTTTGAAGTCAGCACCAACTTGATTTGGCCTTCTTTGTTCTACAGCTCATGGTATATAGTATCTTCAGCAACAGGGTCTTATTGTGGAGTTCTGGTGGGTAAGCAAGAGCAGGGGCAATGGCCAGTCATGTTGGAGGGTCTATGGGATCCCTGCTCAACAGCTTGAAGAGAGGGAGTCCATGTCTATCTTATTTTTTGAGACAGTGTCTCCCAGTGAGCCTGGAGTTCATAGATTCAGCTAGACTAGCCGGCCAGTGAGATCCAGGGATCTCTGTGTCTCCTCTCTCCCAGTGCTGGGGTTTCAGATGTACCCTGCTTTTATGGGTGTACTGGTGATCCAAATTCAGGTCCTCCTAGTTCTGGAATTGTGAGGCTGGTTCTGGAGTGGTATCCTGCACTCCAACTTTTCTCATCCATCGTGTTAGAACTGGTGGAGATGATGGCCTGTGGGATGCACTGTGTGGATGCTGAGGTCTCTACCCGCAGGTGCGCACGAAGGACGTGTTGTTTGAGAGCATCAGTCACCTCGTGGATTACCACCTGAGGAATGGGCAGCCCATCGTGGCCGCTGAGAGTGAGCTACACCTGCGGGGTGTGGTCTCCCGGGAGCCCTGAGCCAGGTTTGTAGTTGCCTGCCTGTACCTGCTGTCTACAGAGTTCCTCCTGTTTAAAGACTGATGTGTGTTCTCAGCCTTCAAGTTCACCCTTTCTGTTACCATCTGTCGCTTTAGTATGCTCACATTTCATTTCAAAGCAGCTCAGCCTTTGCAAGCAGTCACCCCATCCCTTCACCAGCAGCCACAAATCCACTTCCTGTCTCTGGACTCCCCTGTTCTGGACATTTCTTGTCATGGAGCCCCACACTGTGTGGCCTTTTGTGTCTGGGTCTCTCACTGAGCACAGTGTTTTCAGAGTCTTTCCATGCTGTGGTGTGTGTCAGAGCATTGGTCCTGTTCATGGCTGCATGGTACTCCAGGATTTGGATGGACTGTACTATATATCCATCATTCATCTGTGGACACTGGGCTGTTCCTCTTTTGGCTATGGCTCACTGCTGTGAGCATACCTGTGTGCACAGCTTTTTGTGTAGACATGTGGATATTGGTGTGCACATTCATAGGTGTGGAATTGGCTGAGCCTCATGACTTGAAGTTACCTGAATCTTTTTGGTCCCACTGTGTGCTTCCTACCTGGGGGGAGGGTGGGTGTCCTCACTGGTGAGGCCAGCTGGGAGGCAGGGACTGGTGTGTGAGGCAGTGAGGTGGGGAAGGAATGGCCAAGCTCAGCCATGAGCTTTTGTTGCTAGGTCTGTGGAGGGCCGAGTGAGGGGCAGGGACAGGAGGTCTGGTAACCCCAAGGTCTCCTGCAGCACAGGAGAAGGGAGGCAGCTGTGATTGGGGGAGAGCAGGAGATGACAGCAGCAGGGGGACATCGGGGCTGGGCTGAGGGGGGTGTTGGGGGCTGTGGAATTTTCCCAGAACTGCTGGCCCGGTCAGGCTGCTCTCCGGTCCCCATGACAACGTCTCCTTCTGCGTCACCCTCCCCCACCCAGCATGGCCTCTTGCCTGGGAGCCCTGGGCTGTGGGCAGAACTGCTCAGATGAGATGGAGAGGGGTGGCCTCGTGAACCTCATAGACACCTGCGCCACGCTGAGCTAGCACACATTGCCCAGCTAAAGGTTCTGTTCAGTCTTTAAAGGAGTTTGTAAGCCTAGAAGTAACACCCAGGGTCATCTCAGGCCTACTCGATTCTGGGGCTGGTACCTCAGTCTGCACAGAGAAGTTAAAACGTTGTGGTGTGCACAGCAGCAGCTAGTAGAGCCTGGAGGCCCCAGTGGCTGTGTGCTCTTCCTGTTCAACGGTGGCGGAAGTGGCTGCTTGTCACAGCCATCCTGACTTCATCTCTTTCTGCCCACAGGTGAGGGTCAGCAGCCCAGCTCCTGTCCCCAGATGCCCTAATGGCCAGCATCTCTCCTTCCGCATGAGCCTCAGGAAACCGCCCTCTTCCATCTGTGCCCGGCTGGCTGGGACAGTGAGACAGAGTCAGGGTCCCACCCAAGTCCCCACCGCGAGGCTATATAAACCAAAGACAGACTCAGTGGCCTTTAATGAAAAGACACTCAAATGCAGGCCCTGTGCCTTGGATCCCCAGTGTGGGGCAATGACATCAGGTTGTGTCCCTGAAACAGAGGGGACGCCCTGAGTGCGTGGAGCCGATTCCTGCCCTAGCTGGGGTCTGTTCTTCCACCTGATGGGCCAGGTGCACTGTTGCCTTGGTAGGGGGGAAATTAAGGTGCTTTTGGGTCTCAGAGCCTTGAGGGGAGGAACAGCTTTGGGGCTCACCTGGGATGGTGGGGTATCTAGGTGAGAGGCAGAGAGAGGGATCACACAGGGTGTACATCTACCTGGTGCCTCCCAGCTGTCACTGACCTGGACTTTTGACAGTATTTAAACAGTGTTGAGTGCAAGCCAGCTGTGCCTGTGGAGACCTGGCAGGCTCCCAGGTGGACAGCCCAGAATGGCTGTCAGCGAGTCCCCATCGGGCAGAGAAGGAGACAGCGGCCAGATTGTGGGGTCTGCCCTCCTCACAGCCACCCCTACTCTCAACAGACTTCTGTTTTTATTACAAGATAAATTACGATTCTCTGTGCAGTGTGTCCCCAGCTCCTCCTTGGGTATGCTGTGGTCCCTCCACAGTATTTGATGCCCTTAAGTGTGACTTGACTTAGACCTTCCCTACCCCCTCTACCATTCTCTCACATTCTCCATCACCACCCAGGCCCTGAGATCAGAGACATCCTGGTTTTGCCCTCTAGCACCCCAAATTTGTGTCAGACTTTCCCTTGTATTAATTTTGAACTTCCTGTCTCTGGGACTTGTTTGGATGACTCAGCACACAGCAGCCCTTCTGAGAGACCCACCCCTCATCACATCCCAGACTGCAGCCAGGGATTGGACTCTATTCTGGAGACATTGCCAGAGAGAGTCTGGGAGTCAAGTCACCCTTTGCCCTGAACTTGTGACACTTTCAAAGACAGAGACTGAGAGCCCCAACCCACCCATCCATCCATCTTCCCATTCCCTACCCATCTATCCCCAACCCATCCATCTGATCCCTCTAAACCCCCTATCCATTTACCCACCTACCTACCCAGCCAGCCACTCATCCATCTGTCCATGCACCTACCCATCTACCCAGTCACCCATCCACCCACCCATCCACTCATCTATCCAGCAATACACTTACCTACCCACCTGATCACCCATTCATCCATCCATCCATCCATCCATCCATCCATCCATCCATCCATCCATCCATCCATCCATCCATCCATCCATCCATCCATCCATCCATCCATCCATCCATCCATCCATCCATCCATCCATCCATCCATCCATCCATCCATCCATCCATCCATCCATCCATCCATCCATCCATCCATCCATCCATCCATCCATCCATCCATCCATCCATCCATCCATCCATCCATCCCAATACACTTACCTACCCACCTGATCACCCATTCATCCATCCATCCATCCATCCATCCATCCATCCATCCATGCACTCATCTATCCATTTACCCACCCACCCATCCACCTACCTACCCATCCACCCATCCATCTATCCATTCCTCACCTATCCATCTATCCAGCCATTCCTCACCTATCCATCTATCCAGCTGCTAATCTAATCCATCGACCCATTTGTCCGCCTCCCCACTTGTCCATCTGTCCACACACTAATCTACCCTTCCATCCATCTATCCACCTTTGCATTCCCCAACTCATCCATCAGTCCACCCACCCATCAGTTCATCTTCCCATCCACCCACTCATCTACCCTTCCATCTGTCTGTCCACCCACTCATCCACCTTTCTATCTGTCCATACACCATCCCCCATCCTTTCATCCATCTGTCCACCCATCAATCTACCCATCCATCCATCTTCCCATCCCCCACTCATCCATCTGCCCACTTACCCCACCTTCAACCTCACCTACACATCTACCTATCCTGTCAGGTCCTTTAACATCTCATCTGCTGGGACCCCTGGTGACAACAGGAGTTCCAGAGCTCCCAGGCAGACCTCCCCTCATTAGCAGTCCAGGGATGTTGACAAGCAAGTCATCACTAAATGATGAAAACTGGGAAAAGGAGACAGTCCTGGGACTCAGAGATGCCAGGAAATCTTGAGGGCTGGCTTCTTTGTGTTAGTGACACCAGCTGTGATGGGAGGCTAAGTTGGTGAGCTCCAGTGAAGGGGACGGTCCTGGACAGAGTGAGTGCATGTGAGCAGAGGGAGCATCTGTGCAGAGGCTCTGTGTATGTAGATCTGGGGGAGAAGGGGTCACAACACTGGAGCTGCTGTTGGGGCACATAGATACAGGACACAGGGCTTGAGGGGTGGAAGGATGCCCAGGAGAGCTACCAGGTCTCTTAAACATGAACTGCAAAAAATGTTCCAGCAGGAAGTACCCTGGTGACAAGATGGGAATAGGGGGTGGAGGTGCTGGGAGAGGCACTGGAGTCGGACTCTGTAACCATGGGGCAGAGAGGGACTTCAGAATTCATTTAGGAACGTATTCATTCATAGCCCAAGCTCGTCATCTTGCTCATCCTCTCTGAAGTCCTAGTGTCTGGCACCCACCCCTCTGGGGAAAATGTTCACATCTGCCTGAGCTTGTGTACCCCAAAACTCTCTATATAGATTAAGAGCTGGATGCTGAGAGATCAGGCATGTGAGCAGGGACCAAGAAGCCCAAATGCATGGGTCTGGCAAGGAGCCCATCCCTAGCCCTGCCTCTTTGAACCTTCAACTATTCCATCAAAAAACACTCCTTGCCTTGAGAGAACTGGGGGTGGGTGGAGGAGAGTCCTGAGTTCAAATTCAAGTGTCTGAAGTCCTTGACACAGACAGGATGTGTTGCTCCCTGCAGGCCTGCAGTTCACCACACAGATCTGGAGGCAAGGCTGAGCAGCAGTAGGCAGGCCCCTGTGACCACTGCCTACCTTGTTCTGAGGGCAAAGACACAATGTGACACTGTCCTTGATAGATCTGTGGACACAAGGATTGGCTCTGTGTTGTCTTTTACTTTATTTTATTTAATGTGTATGAGTGTTTTGTCTGCATGTATACGTAGGTGCACCTGTACATGCAATGCCCATTGGAGGCCAGAAGAATGCCCTGAAACTGAAGTTACAGCCAGTTGTTAGCTGCCCTGTGGGTGCTGTGAACTGAATCTGGGTCCTCTGCTAGAGCAGCCAGTGCTCTTAACCACTGAGCCGGCTCTCCAGCCCCACTTGTCTGGGTCTTGAGGTTGAGTCTGTTCTTCAAGTGGCTATCTCCTCCCCTGGGTAGCCTTCCATCCTTCTGAGAAATGCTCCTCCCACTGGGAGCTGAGGTCACTCAGGGAGAGATAGCAGGACTCAGGATCAGAAGAGGCCGATTGATACCACTTCTCTGTGTGTGTGTGTGTGTGTGTGTGTGTGTGTGTGTGTGTGTCCATCCTTGTCAGCCTCTGCCAGCAACTCAGAACAAGTCAGACGACTTTGTTGACTGCCAGCTGGGAGGGCAGGGCTTCCGTCCCACAAGGTGGGGTCTACAGGGGCCAACAGGGCAAGCATGGAGACCCACTCCAGTTACTTTTCCCCCCTGGGCCTCAGTTCCAAGTCTCCAAATATACCAGGGTGCCGGGACTGGGCCCAGCAGTTGGAATCTACTTCTGGTGTCCTTTGCAGCCTGAGCCAGTGTCCCTGGCTGGGACCCTTACTGACTCGCAGAAGGTCTGGGAGAGCATTCTTGTACACATCTCTGATTCTACAGGACACTCAGCATTCGGCAAAGGACCTGCCGAACGGCCCATGAGGCAGAAGCACAGAGCGATTTGGTTGCCTGCCTGACGTCACACAGAAGGAAGTGTGGGCTAATGAGTAGCCCAAGGTAGCCTGGCTCCTGGGGCTCTGTGGGTCTGAGCCCCTGCCTCACCCTGTGTAACCCCTGCGTCTCTGTGGCTAGTGGTTTTCTCTTCCCTTAAATGGTTTCCCTGAGATACTTTTGTCACACACCTACACTGCCATTCATTTGTGGGCTGCTCTGTGGTTGTCTGTCCCGCTGGACAGCTGAAAGGCAGGGAGCTGCACCTTGCCTCGGGTTCCCCGGGTGCCCAGTTCACGGTCTCCAGCTCTGGCCAGTGTCGTAAGACCCGCTCCTCAGTTCTCCCCTGGGCAGGTTCCACTCAGTGTAGTAAGAGGAGGCTTTGTTCGCCCCGCTCAGTACCATGAGTCCACCCAGCCCCACAGGCTGCACCAGCTGGCCTCAGGAGGCCTGGTCCCGCCCCACGTCGGACCTACTGCCTGTACCCCGAGTCTCCTCGAACCCACTCAACAGTGCCAGGAGATCCCGGCCTACCCGCAGGCCACGCCCACCCCACCTGTCCCTGGAGGTCGGTCCTGTGTAGCCGGCCCCGCCCCCAGACCTGTGCAACACAATCCTGGCGTCCCTGCAGGCCACGCCCCGGGCCTGAACCCAGAGGTCCAGACTGCTAGGCTGGACACAGGAGGCCCCGCCCCCTCCACCGGTCCCCGCCCCTTGTGGGCTTCGGGGACGCGGGCGGGCAGCCGGGCGCGCGCGCATTCGGAGGAATACGGCCGGGTGGGCGGTTTCCCGCCGAGGAGAGCTGCGGCTTTGCCTTTGCCTGGCTCCCAGCTGCGCCGGGCCGTGGCCGAGTCCCGAGTCCCGGAGTCACCGGCCGTCAGCAGCTGACCCCGCACATTTCGCGAAGCGGGGATCCTGCGCATAGGGAGCCGCGGGCGCCACCAGCTCGCTGCGCGGTTCCAGGGCCGCCGCCTCCCCCCACCGCAGCGCGCAGCATCCGGGCGAAGCTACAGGTGGGTGGCGGCTGGGGGCGGGGCCAGGGAGCTCCGGCCTTGCACCCCGCTGGTCCCCGGGGACCCGGAGCCCCGCAGGTGGGTGGCGGAGGACCGGCCGGGCCCCCTGGCGTTGGAGGCTGACCCCGCTCCCGGCGCCCTACTCGGGGCGCCCTGCGCACACAAGAGTGACCCTGCACCTCGCTGGCCCAGACAGTCCTGGCAACTGACCCTTATGCACAGGTGCCACCCCCAACGGCCCGGACAGGTGACACCAGATGTTAATCCTCCACGACCCTGACAGGTCACCCCAGCACACAAGTGCCACCCCCTCACGGCTCCAACAGCTGACCCCTGCACCAGGTGTCACCTCCAACGCCCTGACAGGTCACCGCTATGCCAGGTGTCATTCCTGTGTCAGGTGTTATCCCCCAAAACCCTAACAGGTCAACACTACACACAGATGCCACGAGGGCCTAACAGCTGACCTCTGTGCCAGGTAATACCCCCTAATGGCCCTGACCACTAGGTTTCACCTCCAGTGGCCCTGACAGATGACCCCTGCATCAGCTACTGCTCCCCCACCCCTGATGACCCTGATAGGTCACCCCTGCACACAGATGTCATTCCCAACAGACCTGATAGGTCACCCCTGCACACAGGTGCCACCCCAATGGCCCTAATAGGTCACCCCTGCATCAGTTGTCACCCCAACCCCCTTTTCTTTTCCCAGACGTCCTGGCCTCTTGCCTGCTGCTCTCATGAGAAAAACCAACATGTGGTTCTTGGAGCGGTTTCGGGGGTCCGGGGAGAATGGAGCTGGTCGTGGTATTGGCAGTGAAGCTGGGGAGAAGTCTTCTAAGGGCCCGCTGTACAGCAACGTGCTGACACCGGACAAGATCCCGGACTTCTTCATCCCCCCCAAACTGCCCTCAGGACCCACAGAGGTAGAGGGTCAGGCTGAGCTGGGCCCATCCATGTCGGAGCAGAACCTGGCATCGCCTGGGCCCCGTCGAGCCCCTCGCAGCCCCCGGCTGCCAGTCAAGCTCGCCTCAGAGAGCAGGAACCTTCTGAAGGCGGCCACACGCCATGTCATTCAGATAGAGAGTGCAGAGGACTGGCCAGCCGAGGAGGCCACTAACGCTGACCCACAAGCCCAGGGTGCCATGTCCCTGCCCTCTGTCCCCAAGGCCCAGACCTCATATGGCTTTGCAACGCTAGCTGAGAGCCCCCACACCAGGCGCAAGGAGTCCCTCTTTCATAGTGAGCATGGGGCCCTGGCCCAGGTGGGCTCTCCTGGTACTGGGCGCCGGCGAGGAGGTGCCAAGCCCAATGCAGGGGATGGGGGATCCCGGGAGGCTGGGGGTGCCCTGATGAGCCCCAGTCGTTACTTTAGTGGTGGGGAGAGTGACACAGGGTCCTCAGCTGAGTCTTCCCCCTTTGGGTCCCCTCTTCTCTCTCGTTCTGTGTCCCTGCTCAAGGGTTTTGCCCAGGACAGCCAGGCCAAGGTGAGCCAGCTGAAACACTCAGTGGGCCGTCATGGTTCACTGTCTGCTGACGACAGTACCCCTGACACCAGCCCGGGTGTCAGGCGCCGCCTGACTCGCAGGGCCACCCCGGAGCCGGGCTCTGAGTCGGGCCAGGCGGCACGTGGGGAGCACACCATACGGATGGGCACCAGGGGCAGTGTGCGACTGCTGGCTGAGTATGAGGCAGCTCAGGCCCGCCTGCGTGTTCGCCTGTTGGCCGCAGAGGGTCTGTATGACCGGCCCTGTGATGCCCGGAGCATCAACTGCTGCGTCGGGCTGTGTCTCGTACCTGGCAAGCTACAAAAACAGCGCAGCACCATCATCAAGAACAGCCGCCACCCCATCTTCAATGAGGACTTCTTCTTCGATGGCCTGGGGCCAGCCAGTGTTCGCAAGCTGGCTCTCAGGATCAAGGTGGTCAACAAGGGTGGCAGCCTCAAGAGGGACACGCTGCTGGGGGAGGAAGAGTTGCCTCTGACCTCACTGCTCCCCTTCCTGTGAGGTTTACCTGCTCCTTCCTCCATTGGAGGTCAGCTGGGAGACAGCGAGGGGGAGGGGGGGGTCTGGGCTCCGCCTGTGACCTGGTGTTTCCTGCGTGTCTGCAGAACCACCACCCTCCCCCTTTGCCTTGTGACACTGCCTGGCCCTTCCACACAGAGAGATTGCAGGTTGGGGTTCCAGGATCTCCGCGACTGAGACAGCTGGGACTCAGCCGAGCTCCCCTAGTGTAGACTGGCCTCAGTTTTTATCTTTGCTGCACGAATGTCTTCACCCAGTGTGGCTACCATGCGATCTGCCCAGACTCTGTCTGCCTGTGACATCCCCCCAGCCTGTGGCTACTTCCCCACCTTGCAGGTTCCAAACCTGCCTTCCCAGCAGGCCCTTGGCCAACCCCCCCACCCCAGGGGGAGTGTAAGTAGGATGTGGCTGTGGAGGGCAGGAGGGGTGGGGCTGGGCCCTGGCTGTGGCTTGCCTATATTGGACAGACACCCGGGTTACTAGGGTCTCCAAATGGGCTGCCAGGTTTGGTACAAATTCTGTCATTGAAAATTGGCTGCCCCTTTGGGCATTGATGGACCAGTGTATTTCCGTGGGCCCCACAATGTCCCTTTCTACTTGACTGTACCCCCAAACTCCAGGCATCAAGGTCTTTCTTAGAGAAGGGTGCAGGAACTGATTTCCTAGGACCCTCAAGGGACCAGCCCTCCCCATGCCTGGTCTCCACTGTCTCTGGAACCTGGGGATGTCATCCATGATGGTGAACAGAGGGGTCCTGCATGGAGTTCCCCAGCAGTCTTGCTGCCCTCCCCGGTTCTCCCTGGGTCCCATTTTCTACACCTTGCACTGTTTGATAGCTTTGTGTTTGCAGTTGACTGTGTGTGAACCTTGAAGACACCTCCCCCAAATGTGTTTGTTTATAATGCTGTTTTTAGTGAAATAAAGGTGTCTGGATTATGTGGGTGGGCAGGTCTGCTTGCCTGATGTTTAATAACAACAGGATTTCCACTGTGGATGGTGAGCAGGGTTGGGGAGACTTCTCATACTCCTGGCTTCTGTGCCTGCACAGCGGGGAGACCCCAGCCCTGTCTATGACCAGGACTCACAAGTCTGGGTGCCCAGCTCTGCCCTCACCCTCATTTATGTCCTCTACCCATCATCACAGTAGCTAGCAGAGCAAGAGCCCCAAATGCTCTGCAAGGGGCTGGAGGTACCACCCCCTTTCCTGCTTGGTTAGTCAGCCCTTCCTAGAGGAAACCCTCCAGGGCAACTTTGCTGGGAAAATGATTTTTCTCAGCGGCAAATCGTGGGTGGGTATGTGTCTGACATCAGGATTGGAATGGAGTCACCTGGGCCCCAGATATCATTCACTCCCCATGCCCACGTGCACAGGATGCCCAGGGGGTGCAGAGTGAGGGCACCTAGGATGGACAGCACACTGGAGGCCAAAGGTCTCACTGCCTCACATCCCCTTGATGGCCACTGTGGTCACCATGGCTCCTGATCTCTCTGCTCAGGGGAGGGGCTGCCCCGCTGGGTACTGGGAAGTTGGTGGTGGTTGTAGGGACAATAGGGTGGTGGCATCCACAGCCACAGGAGATAAGCAAGTGAATGAATCTGGCTGCCCATAGACTGAAGGGTCAGAGCCACAAGTGACAGGCTTTCTAGGCTCATAGGACAGGGTGCAGCCCCTACTGTCCACCCAGGACCCCGTGTTCTCTCTGACCCTACACAGAATCCTGTGACTTCAGGACAAGACCACATATCCCCCGTGATCCCACACAGAACCCTGTGTCCCCTCTGACCTGTGGCTCCAGGATAGGACCAATGTCCCATGTGACCCCACACAGGACCCCATGTCCTGCTACATGCAGGACCTGTTTTGTACTCCATCCAGTACAGTCAGGCCCTGCTGCCTTGGGGTCCTGAGCAGCCCCTCCTGCCAACTCTAGCCAGATGAGTAGCTACTCTGAGCTCCTGGGATGTGTTGCCAGGGCAGCCAGGCTTCCGCTCCTCCTGGGCCACCCATGCACTTCCCAGAGCTGGGAAGTGCGGGCCCTAGAGTGTACCCTGTCCCCAATGCCTGTATGTGTGTGTGTCACCCCATCATCCTGTGTAGCTCTGGGCAGGTGCCTGTACCTCTGTGCGTACACACGTGTGTGTCTGATTACCTGTGTCCATATTTTTAGCATGTGTGCCCTTGCCATAGCTATGTGTCACTGTGGGCCCGAAGTTTCCCTGGGCCACAGCACAGGTCCTGTGTCACCATCCTCAACACCCCTTCTCTGACTGCAGCCCCTTTGAATGTGGCTCCCACTGGGCCTGGGGCTGTCTGAATGAGGATATTTGAGGTCCAGACAGTGTCCTCTATCTGGTAACACAGACCACAACAGAACCTTTCTCCTCTCTCTCTTCCAGCACCACAATCTGATCTGCTGAGGCAGTGGGCATCTGGCAGGCAGAAACATTTTATTTTTATTTATTTATTTATTTATTATTTATTTATTTATTTTTGGTTTTTTTTGAGACAGGGTCTCCCTGTAGCCCGAGCTGTCCTGGAACTCACTATGTAGACCAGGCTGGCCTTGAACTCACAGAGATCTGCCTGCTTCTGCCTTCCAAGTGCTGGGATTAAAGGCATGTGCCACCACGCTCGGCAACGTTTTATTTTTAAAAATGATTTATTTGTACAAGTGTTTTGATGGCCAGTATGTTTATTGATGTGTGTGTAGTGCCCGAAAAGACTGGAAGAGGACAACAGAGTCGCCATTTGGTGCTGGGATCTGAACCCAGGTCCTCTGGAAGAGCAGCCAGTGCTCTTAACCACTGAGCCATCTTTCCAGACCCTCCTGATCTTCTTTTTGCTTTGTTTTTATGAGACAGGGCCTCACTATGCAGCCCTGGCTGGTCTGGAATGTGCTATGTAGAAAAGCTGGCCTAGATCTTACAGAGATCCACTTGTCTCTGCCTCCCAAGTGCTGGAATTAAAGGCTGTGCCACCAAGCCCAGCCAGAAACTTCTTAATAGATGCCCATCACAGTCAATACTCTTTCTCAGAGGGGAGTCAAAGCAGGAAGCCAAGGACGAAGGTGACATCTGCATTGGGCACATGGATCCAGCCATGCCTGAAGTCCACAGCTGGGCATCATTGCAGCCGAGAAGCCTGAGACAGTCTCTTGGATGCCCCAGCCTATTGGTTTCTGCCAACTGAGCTTCATTTTTGAGGGGTAAGGACCTTGTCCTGGGGTTGTCCAGGCCAAAGCTGACATGGAAGGCAGCCACAGAGGACTGGGCTGTGGACATCTGCAGAGTTGGGGAGGAAACAGTGAGGGAGAGGGGTTAATCAGGAGGGTTTTGTGGAAGGTGCTGGTTCCCTGAATTAAAGAAGGGAGGGGACAGTAGGCCTTGGGGTTCTGAAGGCTTCTAGGGCCCCCTAGGGCTCTGTCTGCCCTCCTGAGCCCATTCATTGGCCAAGGGTGCCTTGGCTGCTTGAGAGGTCTTCTCACTAACCAGCTTTGAAATCCCATCCTGGACTGGGGGATTCAAGCCCGTTTTCTACTTGGCTCTGTGGCTTCAAGCCAGGGTCTGGTGGAGGACCTGTGATCTGCCTAGAAAGCTCATGTATGATCTAGCATGACCAGGCTCTCCACACAGCCTGCAAGGATAATTAACACACTCCATTAGGTAATCTCAGGCTGCCTCTTTAGCAGCCTCCTCCTCCACCCACTGAGCTCTGGTGGGAGGGGTCACAGCCAGTTCTTCAGACTGGCTCTAAGCACTGGAGTTGAAGGGTGATGGGCCCAGTGGCATAGTGGCTCACACTTTGGTGTGAGCTGGTCCACCAGCTCCCTGACCCTCAGTTTCCTTTCTATACAATGGAGTGTTACAAGCTCCCACCCTCAAGTTCAGGGCTTTCTGTGGCTGTGTGCTGCCTGGGTTTGAATACTGGCAAGTCACTCTGTCCCTGTGACTCAGTTTCCTCTCCAGCACCCTATGTCTGACCCTGAGTTGTGGTGTGGAACATGCAGGGACTGACACACACAGGTGACTCTCTGTTTTGGTCACTGGACAGCTGGGGTACAAGGCCAGTCCCTCCTATTGCTGGGAGGAAGATCTGGGGTGGGCCTGGCTCCTGGGAGGGAGTCTGTCAGACCAACTGGGTAGCTTGGATAGAGTGGGGAGGACCTTGGGCCACAGGGCGATGGATGGGCCTGGCCTGCAGGCTGCAGGAGAACCCTGGGGGCTAATGAGAAGGCAGCAGTGGCAGGTTTGACCTTTCCAAATTCTGAACTGTTCTTAACTTGAGCCATACAAAACAAGCTGAGCCATACAAAACAGCTATTGCTCAGTGCATGCTGGCTGCATGCTGTAAGTGCTCAATGCATGCTGGCTGTGAGCAGTAAGTGCTGGCTGCATGCAGCAAGCATTCAATATGTTACTGCATGCAGTAAGTGCTCAGTGCATGCATGCTCCTTGCACACGGCAAACACTCAGTGCATTATCTGCATACAGATAGGGCATCCCCAGGGAGGAAGAGACTGGCAGGCTTCCTACAGGCTAAGGCCACAGGGGAGGGAATACTGTGCAGAGAGCATCAGGGAGGGAAGTGCAAGGTCCAGTGCATGGGTAAAGCCTGCAGGGCCAGGAGGGGGACCAGGGACAGTGTGGACTTTGTTCTAGGGCAACAGGTTATATTTTGTTTTATTTACTCAGGAGGCAAAGGGAGGTGGATCTCTGTAAATTCAAGGCCAGCCTGGTCTACATAGTGAGTTCCAGACTAGCCTCAGCTACAAAGTAAGACCTGTCTCAAAAAATAAAAATTAAAGCTGGGCCGGATGGGGTAGCACACACTTTTAATCCCAGCATGCAGGAGGCAGAGGCAGGCAGATCTCTGTGAGTTCAAGGCCAGCCTAGTCTACATAGTGAGTTCCAGGACAGCTGGGGCTATGGGAGACCCTGTCTCAAAAAGACTGAAAAAAAAAATGCTGGGCCTGGTGGTGCATGCCTTTAATCCCAGCACTTGTGAGGCAGAGGCAAACAGAACTTTGTGAGTTCAAGGCCACCCTGGTCTACATAGCGAGTTCTAAACCAGCTGGGGCTACAGGGAGACACTGTCTCAAAACAAAATTATAAATTACAAATAAATAAAAAAGAAAAAAAATACATTTTATTTGTTTATTTCTTTAGTGTATATAGGTATAGTACACACGTAGAGGCTAGAGGACAGTCTGTAGGAGTTGGGTTCTTTCCTTCCACCATGTGAGTTCCAGGGATTGAACTCAGGTTGTCAGGCTTGGTGGCAAGCCTCTTTACCTGCTGAGCCACCTTGCCTGCCCAGGCAACAGGTTTTGATGATGTATCAGAAGCCCACAATGTTGGAGGGCTGTGGGGCAGGACGGAGACAGGATGGGGCTGATGCAAGAATCCAAGGAAGGTGGTAGACACCTAAGAGCCCGACTTCGGAATGAGCAAGAGAGGAACAGACGGTCCCTACGACTCAAATGGCCAGCGGGCATACGGAAACTGCTCAGTGCTAGGAAAATGCAAATCAAAACCACAGGATGACGGATGACAATTCCACCCACAGTTGTCTAATCAAGAAAAAAGAAACAGCAGGCACCAGAGAGACTGCTGGGAAATTGGACCTCGCATGCCAGGAATGGGTATCTCATGCAGTACAGTGACTGTGGAGTGGTGTTGGGGTCCCTCAGAAAGGTGAACCCAGAGTCACCATCTGACCCAGGAGCTCTGTGCATAGGTATACACACAAAAAGGACAGTTGTCACTAAAACAAATGATCACCCACAAAATTTGTTCGTATCCGCATTGTTCACACACCCAAAGGCAGAAAGACCCAAGCTGTCCATGGACAGATGGTAGACACACAGGGTGGTTAATCCACATGCTGAAGTATTACACAACCGTGAATGGGAGTGAAGCTCCAACACATGCAACAG